TATCGAAAAACAAATAAATATTCAGACAGATTTATTTAGACCGATTACATTTAAAATAAAGAAATTGTATTGATTTTCAATGCTGGACGATTAGAAGAGAGAGGAAAGAAAGAGATTGTAACAATTAAAAGGGAAGAAAGGAAAAAAAAATAGTTACGGAATAGGAAGTTGGGTATATGGATTACTACCAATTACATAGTATAACTTTATACGTTGGATACATATATACATTTCGTTATTAAATTTAGTTTAATTCTATTATTTCAAAGCCACATTCAAGGCCTTCAAACTAAAATAAAGCTACAAAATTTATACCAATATACTTCTCAAATTGAGATAAAGAATACATCTGTAAAACTATCTGCTGTGTAATCTAATCTTATGTAAAATTAAAATACATCTTTTATGCAGTAAAAGCCACTAAACGCTAATGACCAGTGGCCATGTTATATCATCTAAACAGATTGTAAGAGAGTAATTTTGACGATCGCTTCTAGAATGCAACGCAAACTACAAGGGGTGCGTTCCGATATTCACTGCCAGTGCTGAAAATCTATAGCGCACGTAACGTATATTGTATAGTTTCAGCACTGGCAGTGAATATCGGAACGCACCCATGATATCATGGAGTGCGATTCATCTATTCCACTCGTCTTCTTTCTTGTGCTGGCACAAATGATATAAGCGAAGTATAGCTTAGTGACCAATCGTCTGAAATTAGAACAGTTCCAAATTTTAACTCTTTGACCACGTATCCCAAATCTTGTTCCAAATTGAGAACATTATTACTAATTATACTTTGTTTAAGTGTGAAATAATAAATGAAAGTAATAAGTGTGAAATATAATTTTCAACTAATATGTGAAGAATTTTATGATTTTTTATTTAAAAACTTAGATATTATTTATAAAATACATTCAATAAAAAAGTACAATTTAAAAAAATAAAATATAATCTCGTAACTTAACTAATTTTTGTTGTGTAGGTTTGTATAGTATCACATCTCACACTGACAAAAACGATATAATAACGGTAACAAAGAAAGAGAATTATTCACAACCGATTATTATTGGATTATTTTGTTAAAATAGCAAAATATAGTATTTTTTTTGTTAGATGAACAAAATTTTTTTATTTAACAATACAAATTTATTTGACACTTACGTTTTGTAAATAACAACGTAAAATTTGGTCGCTATTAAAATAAGTATTCTTTTAGTAAGTTCAACAAAATAATCCACAAAGATAGAGCGAGGGCAATTTCGCGGAGCTGTCAGATGGCGTGTTAATTCTTGTAAGAGAAATTCGACATCTATTTGTATAAAGCCGGGACGATTAGAGACTAATTTCGTGTACTTTTCAGCTCTCGCCACACCATGGTAACAACCATTTTTTTAGAACGATTAATAATCAGTTGTTCTAAATCTATATACCTTTGCTAAGCTAAAGAAGTTCAAAAATGCCAAACATAATTTTACTCTGTAAAAAGTAAGAGATATATATTATTCTTACACATATAATTGTTTTGTTCCGATAATAAAATGTTCTATTTCTAACTACAAAAGATCTATAAACATCATATAAAACAGTTTTGTATCATTAAATTATTAGTTTATTTAGTAAATTCAACAAATATCGCCGTAGTAACCAACGGTTTGATTAGTCATATATCAACAAGTAGTTTTTGTGTCAGTAACAAAACTTTGGTTATATGTAATGTTATACATTAAGTGTTATTCTTCTTCTTAGTCCTGTTGTTCGCGGCCGAGTATGGTGACTTCTCCTATATGCCTGTGGTACGCACGTTAGTTGTACATAGTCATATGGGACCTACAGTTTAACATCGATTTCGAACGACGAATTGGTAGAGAAGTTTCCAGGGCAAGTATACTATCAGTGGTTTGCCACTGCCTTCCGAGAGGAAGCTACGTTCGAAAATTTTCGGTTCTGCCGGGGATTGCACCCAGGATCTTTAGTATAGCAGACTAGTGCGCTGTCTGCTACGCCACGTTCGCGACCGATGTGAACCTGGCGTCCAACTTTATCAAAAATTAAAAACATACCGTAGCACGTTTGTATTTCGTTTATACCTGTTTGTATCGATCATTATTTCGTTTGTACCTCAAACAATTAAACAGAAAGTGAAAAATAAAAAATGGTCAGAGCGCAACTTTAAGATTTTTTAATTTCATTTATGCCATTCGAAAGAGAATCGTTTATACCCGTCTGTATCTCTTTTATTTTCGTTTGTACCTTAAAGGGTTCGGAGATACAGCGCTTTTGAATTTTTGCGCAACCTCTATATATAGCAAACTTAGTCAATTTTTTAAATATCAAAATGAGACCAATGACATTCGAAAGAGAATCGTTTGTACTCATTTGTACTTCTCTTACTTTCGTTTGTACTTCAAAGGGTTCGGAGATACAGTGATTTCAAAATTTTGGAAATGCGCCAAGAGGTGAAGTCGGCCATTTTAAAAGATATTGAAATGGAACCAACGGTATTCGAAAGAGAACCGTTTGTACCCGTTTGTATCTTTCTTACTTTTGTTTGTACCTCAAAGGGTTCGGAGATATATGTTTCAAAATTTCGAAAATACGCCAAAAAGTTAAGTCGGCCTATCTCCGGGCCCTTTGAAGTACAAACAAAAGTAAGAGAAGTACAAACGGGTACAAACGATTCTCTTTCGAATGCCGTTGATCACATTTCGATATCTTTTAAAATGGCCAACTTTCCCTCTTGGCGCATTTCCGAAATTGTGAAATCGCTGTATCTCCGAACCCTTTGAGATACAAACGAAAGTAAGAGAGGTACAAACAGATACAAACGATTCTTTTTCGAATGCCGTTGATTCCATTTCGATATCTTGAAAATTGACTAAGTTCGCTATATAGGGGTTGCGCAAAAATTGAAAAGCGCTGTTTCTCCGAATCCTTGAGGTACAAACGAAAGCAAGAGAGGTATAAACGGGTACAAACGATTTTCTTTCGAATGCCGTTGGTCCCATTTTAATATCTTTTAAAATGGCCGACTTTCCCTCTTGGCGCATTTCCGAAATTGTGAAATCGCTGTATCTTCGAATTCTTTGAGGTACAAACGGGTACAAATGATTCTCTTTCGAATGCCGTTGATCCCATTTTGATATCTTTTAAAATGGCCGACTTCCCTTCTTGGCGCATTTCCAAAATTTTGAAATCACTGTATCTCCAGACCTTTTGAGGTTTAAACGAAAGTAAGAGAGATACAAACGGGTACTGTTATTGGAATGGTTCATGTACAATAAATCCAACAATTTTCGCTTACAACAACTTCTTTTCTTTCTCATGTACAACGGAAAAACAAAATGTCTGACTTCATCCTTGCCACACCACTGTTCTCAAGCAGCGCCTCTTCTCTTTTCCTCGTTTTCCTATCTTATCGACAGCCGCTTGAACATAATATACTGACTCACTAACATTCCGGCCGCCTTGAAAGGTCCGCTTTCGAATAAACAATAGATAAACTACAAACAACCGTCACGCTCATCATGAACTACAAACGTATGCTGAACAATGAATCGGTAAATTAACCAAACTGAAACAATAACTAATAAATGAGCAAACACAATAGAAATGAGTAATACATCTTACGAAGTAACTTAAATAACCTCTGATACATTTAGGTATATTATTTAATTCTTATAGCAATGTTAAACCTAACTTTAATTCAATATATGGTTATTCTATATCTAGATTGCTAGGAATTACAAGGATCCGCTAATGGTAGTGGACACATCTTCTTGGTAGCACGCTTGAAGCATCCGGTTTGTGTTCTGACTGTGGCGACTCGTACTTGATTATCCGCTCCGGGATGTGCTGCTATAATTCTGCCGATGAGCCATCGCAGAGGCGGCACGTTTTCTTCAATGAGAAGGACCAATTGGTCCAATTTAATACCGGCATCGGAAGTGAGCCATTTATTTCTTTTCCGTTGTTCTTGCAGATATTCACGCTGCCAGTGCTTCCAAAATTGCTGCCGTAGTTTTTGCAAATGCTGCCAATTTGACAAATGATTATCCAGTGTTTCAAGGAAACAGCGCTGTACAGGCTGCGTGAGTGAGTCGCCAATAAGGAAATGTGCTGGAGTAAGCACATTAAGGTCTGAAGGATCATTTCATAAAGGAGTTAAAGGACAGGAATTGACCACTGCTTCTATTTCTGTCACCAAAGTATTGTATTCCTCATAAGTGAGAACTCTTCCTTTAATAATTGTATAGAGATGCCGCTTCATGATTTTTACGGCGACCTCCCACAAGCCTTCAAAATGAGGAAATCTGGGAGGGTTAAAACTCCAATTGATCCTTTGCTTAGCCAATAGGAATAGGAAGGTCTCTATCTCTGCCAAGAGTCTCTATCTTAGCCAATAGGAATAGGAAGGTCTCTATCTCTGACTTTGAATTTTCTAAGAACTCTTAAACTTCTCGCAAATCCCGGGAAGCTCCCACGAAATTTGTTCCGTTATCCGAGAACAATTGCTGGCAGAGTCCACGTCTCGCTGTGAAACGACTTAAAGCTGCCAGAAAAGCTTCTGTCGTAAGACTGGTCACAATTTCCAAGTGCACAGCTTTCGAACTAAAACACACGAATACCGCTATATATCCCTTCGATACATAAATTCGTCCGCGCCGACAACTCTCTTGTATCTACAACGGACCGGCATAATCCACGCCAGTCACCATGAACAGTCGTGAAGGTATCGTCACTCTTTCCTTAGGTAAGTCTCCCATCCGAATATCGGGGACCACTGGTCTGTAGCGAAAACATCAAATGCATGTTCTCACAATCTTCTGTGCTAATCTACGCCCGCCTATAGGCCAATAGCGTTGTCGAACACTGTACAACAGCTGCTCTAGAGGACAATGCAACAATCTCTTATGTTCCTCGCGCATGATGGAAAGAGTCAAATTATGCTTGGATGGCAGAATGACGGGATACTTCTGTTTCCGGGAAAGATCCGCGTCTTAACCTTCCACCAGTACGGATCCCTGCTCATCTAAAAAAGGAGTAAGCGATCTAAGGGCGCTTTTCCTCAGTAGATCTTGATTATTCCTTAAGCTTCGTAGCTCAAGGGGAAATTCTTCCTTCTGAATCCACTTGAAAATGGCTCTCTCTGCTCGGTTTATTTCTTCAACTCCTGGTGGTTTCACGTCTTTGTGAGTTTTGCTGAGTCTCTCTTCAATGGAAGGCAGTTTTCTAATACTAGCAAACCTAAAACAATAAGCTACTATTCTACATAGCTTGTTGAACGACTCACATGCTAGTAATAAGGGAGCTGAAGATGATCGTGTGGAAATCAAAGCAACTGGGATATTTTTCATTTCTGGTAGATCCGTGTCTGGCTTTTCGATTTGCTTAGGGCACTGCCCCTTTTCCTTAATCCATGCGGGTTCATTCCACCACAAGTTGTTTGTCTGAAGTTCAGCAATGGTCGTTCCCCTGGACAGAAGGTCTGCTGGGTTTTCCTCTGAAGGCACGTGCTGCCACGTAGCTCCCTCTTGCGTTAACTCTTGTATTTTAGCTATTCTGTTAGCAACGAAAGTCTTTAATGCATGCGGTTCCGTTCTAATCCATCCAAGAACGATCGTACTATCGCTCCATAATGAAATTCGATGAACCCTACCGTGTAAAGCCAGTTTAACATTGCGAACTAATTGTACCAAAAGTAAAGCTGCTTCTAACTCCAATCTGGGTAAAGAGAGCGTTTTCAGAGGTACCATCTTTGATTTAGCACAAAGAAGATGTGAATTTATATTACCGTTTTGGTCAGTGCTAACTGCATATAAACATGCTCCAAATGCACTCTGAGAAACATCACCGAAGCCAAATAAGTCAATTTTTCCCGCTACATTACCTGGATTGACATTTCTTGAAAGTTGTAGCGAGTTGAGTTCTGATAATGAATCATGATATTTTCTCCATGCTGCTACATGGTGTGCTGGTAACAGTTGATCCCACTGCAGTTCTTCCATCCATAGCCTCTTCCCCCTTATTAAGATTAGGCCAATCAGCCCCAATGGGTCGAAGATCTGAGATATCCTTGATAGAGCTGATCTTTTCGTGAGATTTTACTGTTCTGGCAAGTCCACTTTATATTGCAGGATGTCCTTCGAGGTGTGCCAAAGAAGGCCTAATATCTTAGCTGCATCTTTGTCGAGAATGAGTAGTTCATTTGTCATCGGCTGATTGAGTAACGGCTGTAAATTCTTTCTCTCGTTGGATTTCCATTTCCTTAGAAGAAACTGTCCCTTTTGTAAAAGTTCAATCAATTGTCTTTGAAGTTCAATGATCTCTTGACTCATGCTTCCTCCTGAGAGTAGATCGTCCATATAGAAATCTTCATTCTCGGCGTTGGCGGAATATTCTCCTTGATGCTGAATTGCCAATTCTCGAAGACAGCGCATTGCGTGATACGGTGCACTTGCAGTGCCATAGGTTACTGTGTTCAATCGATATACATGTGATGCTTCTTTCGCATCATTTCTCCAAAAAATTAGTTGTAACTGCCGATCTCTTTCGTCAACGCTTACTTGACGGAACATTTGAGCAATATCAGCTGTTATTACATATTGATGCATCCGAAATCTGAGGAGTATCTTGCTAAGATCATTTTGCAAGTTAGGTCCTGGCATCAGTTTATCATTCAACGAGGTGTCTAAAGTGGTCTTTGCAGAGGCGTCAAAAACCACGCATAGCTTTGTTGTCAGGCTATCGGGCCTGATTACCGCTTGATGCGGAATGAAGTATGTCTATTCTGTTTCCGATAGCTCCGCGGCGGATATCTTAGTCATGTGACAACTTTCCTCATAGTCCTTCATGAATTCACTGTATGCTTGTCTTAGATTCGGCTCTCGTCGAAATCTTCTCTCTAATGCTTCTAATCTTTGTTGAGCTTGATTTTTTAATTGTCCGAGTCGAATTCCTGATCGCGTGGGCAATCGTACTACGAATCTTCCATCTGGCTCTCTGCTTGTAGTCCATAAAGTGTTTTTCACATGCCTTTTCTTCGGCGGTGTAATGCTTGATCTCTGGAAGACTCTCCACCTTCCAAAATTTTTCCATCTGTTGATGTAATTGATCATTGGTTACTGCAAGACATGTGATAATTTGTCTATTTGCGTGTGATTTCGCATCATGTAACGATCCGCCGAGGATCCATCCTAGTTTCGTATTTTGTAATGCTGGCTGACCGTGAATTCGGTTTCTCGGTGCGTCAATGAGTAGTTTATCATTCTGCTCCAATGAGTATATCAATATTTCCCGGTTCTTGATAGGCCGGATCTGCTAACTGAATTCCATTTGGTATTATTATTTCAGTGGTTTCTATTTTCCTTTGCGGAATCGGTTCTGTGATCGATGGCAAAATGAGGCATTCTAATTCCCATGTGAAATCACTGTGTATTGCCTTTACGTTGACTCGTGCAACTTTGCATATTTCAATTTTGGCTTGGCCTATGCCACTAATAGGAATATCTTTATTTAACCATGGCAGTCTCAATTTCTGTAATAATCCTGCTGTCATGATATTAGACTGAGATCCCGCATCTAACAAAGCACGACAAATTACTTGTTTTCCATCGGCATCCTGAATGCATACTTGAGCCGTGGAAAGAATAACCTGTGAGGCTGTAGCCTTACATGTATTGTTAATTTTACTGGTGGCCTTGGTACAATGAGTAATAATTTGCGTTATCTGAGCCTCAGCATCTTCTGTATTTTTCTGCTCATCTTGATATAGAAGCGTGTTGTGTCTACCTGAACATTTTTTACAAGTAGAAACCTTACATTCTTTGACTTGATGTCCAATGTTGAGACAGTTGATGCACAGTTTCTTTTCCATAATGCATTTCTTGCAATCGTCCGGCTTTAGTTTCAATAACTCTTCGCATCAAAATGTTGGATGTGCTTCATCGCATATTCTGCACTTGAATGATGTGGACGCCAATACAACCTTTTTTCCACCTTTCTTGTCTTGTACACTTTTAGGTTGTGACTGCATCTGTTTCGATGAGGTGACTCTGCCCTGATTCAACATCCTCAGCGTATGACAGCGCTCTGTCAAAAATACAACGAATTCATCCAGTTTTGGCATATTTTGTGGAGTATGCTCCTTTGTGCGGTTTTGCCAATCTCGCTGTTCTGTGTATTCCAGCTTCTTTTTTGCTAGATGCAGTATAACTGTATCCCAATGATCTACTGGCTGATGCAGAGATTTCAGGGATGATTTATGTGTCTGTATGTGCCAAATGAGCTGTTGTTCATTGAATCTGCCTTTCCATCCTTAGTGATAGACGGAGAATTGAAAAGTTTGTCTAAATGTGTTTCGATAATCATCATCTCGTATGTGCTTTTAAGAAGCCGCCATGCATTCTCGTAACTCTCATTGCTAAATCCTTCGATGACTTTACGCGCCTCACCTGTCAACACTCCAGTGAGATATTGGTACTTCTACGGTCCTGATAAATCTTCATCATTATGTATAGTGGTTTCGAAACTATTCTTAAAGAACAACCACTTTGTATATTCCCCGCTAAATTCTGGCAGTTTAATTTCTTGAAGTTTTGGTTTGTTTCGTCTGGCTTACTGACTTCCTTGTCTACGCTCTTCAGCTGGTGCCTGATTGCTATTAGATGGTTGCTGTGCAACCTCTTTTGGCGTCTTCTTGTCATAATTTGTTGTGCTTTTTCCGCTATTTCATAATATCTTTCTTCGAATCAAACTTGTTCTCCGTCCATCTCCGTTGTGAATGCCTCCGATTGCTGTTCATCTTCTATGATGATGTTTTCTAGTTTTCGCTGTATTTTTTCGAATGAATTCCAGAATCCTTCCAGTTTTTTAAATCTAATTTGTGCTTCTGTAATTGAGCATTCTGGATTATGCTCAAAGAATGTATGCAGTCTGGTGACTTGAGCTTTAATGCGTGCTCTTAACCTTTTCAATTGCACTAATTCTGATATTTTAGAGAAATGACTTTTAACAAGGTTATTACAGAGTATATTACAGAGTATATTATAGAAGGAAAATATTGTGTTTGCAAGAGGTTAGGAAAGCGACTTTCTCACCTGTATGTTTCGTTGTCCCACGTTGTGGTCGAATCAAGTGTAATGTATTTTATAATGACGTGTTGATTAATACGTGATTGTCTGATTCCTGATCTCGAGTGTTTATGAATTTCGAAATCATGCCGTGCGAACGTGCCTCGTGCTCAGTGTGTTTCTTTTGATGTAAAAATTGGTTGTTGTGTTATGCTTTCCTTACATTCGGACGAGATTCGGGCTTGTTGGGCGCCAAATTGTTATTGGAATGGTTCGTGTATAATAAATCCAACAGTTTTCGCTTACAACAACTTCTTTTCTTTTTCATGTACAACGGAAAAACAAAATGTCTGACTTCATCCTTGCCACACCACCCTTTTCAAGCAGCGCCTCTCCTCTTTTTCTCGTTTTCCTATCTTATCGACTGCCGCTTGAATGCAATATACCGACTCACTAACAGGTACAAACAATTCTCTTTCGAATGCCGTTGGTTCCATTTTGATATTTAGAAAATTGGCTAAGTTTGCTATATAGGGGTTGTGCAAAAATTGAAAAGCGCTTATCTCCGAACTTTTTGAGGTACAAACGAAAATAAAAGAGATCCAAACAGGTACAAACGATTCTCTTTCAAATGGCATAGGGGAGATCGGGGACAAAAGTAACATTTTGACTTTGAAGTGTTATAACAGTTAAAATATAATATTTACGTTTAAAAAAGTATATCTTTAGATGTAGAATTTATTTAGCTACAAAATTTTCTTTGATTCAATTTTTCAATGTAACTAGAAAAAAGTTATGTTTGTTTAAAGACTATCAGGAATTTTCTTACAACTGTCCCAACCCCTGGGACGATTGTAACTGTAGAGAGGGACAATTGTACCATACTATTTATAAATAAAATAATGATTATTTTATTGGTTTTATTAATAAAAATACATAATAAAGAAAGGCTCAAATAATTCAAACCAAAATAAATCAGAAGATCTACGAGCCAAAACAAAACAAATTTTAATGTACATATGATACAGTTGACATTAAGTAAAAGAAAAATAAAAACAAAATAAAAATATGTCTACATCAACTAACGTTTCGATCACCTTTATTTTCAAAGTTATAAACAAGTATGTATGTGAAAGCGGTGACTACAATAGATTAACATAGATCACTAATTATAGAAGTATAATGAAAATTATTAAAAATATACTTCGTTGTTCAGGCCTGATTTCAGTTATATGTAGTCGACGGAAGGTAGATCCTGGATTTACGCCAAACATTCAAATATTGCTGAGTATCCAACAATGAATAGATGTAGCTGTCAAAAAATAAATCCTGGATATATGCCATGGTCCGATTACAAAAAGTATTTGCCAAATATAAAAAAGTCGCTGATAATGCTATTAAGTAAACCGAAGTAACAGTCCTTCTTACAAAATCCAGATTCTACAGTATAAAATTGAATAACTGACTCCTAGTCTAGTGCCGATAACTTTTGTAGATAAAAAATTTAATAACAGGCAACGACCGGCTGGAAAATGAAGTTAAGGTTGTAACAAAACGAAAAAAAAAATGTTTAAACACGAGATAATGTGAAATGGTGAAATGGGAGTGCTGTTTAGGGGTTGAAATCGGTTTTTCTCGACTTGCGGCGAAGGGTGACCTCCTAGTGGAAAATGTTCAATACAAAAGTTATAGATAATAAAAAAATCTAAAACTTTTGTATTTGACATTTTTCAACATAACCTCAAATTTTTCGAGAAAATGGCGAAAAACTGATTTTTCAGTTTTTAATTTTTTTCTCACGTAAAAATAATTTAATTTACATGAAATTTTGTGGAAGTATACCTTTTTTTACCTGGAATAAGCTTGATTTTTTTGGAATTAAAAAAACAAATAGTTTTTGAGATGTTGACACTTTTTTAAAAAACTACCCTTATCTT